GTTAAATTAGATAAAGTTTAAACAAAAGGATTTTATTATCATAGACATGAATACAAAACAGATGGCGCGTAACGGAAAAATGTGACGCGTAACCGAAAAACGTGACGGTAAATTTTTTTCCAACGCCGATAAGGAAGTTTCACTTCAAAAATATTGACAGTTCAATTAAATGCTCATTAATTAGTTTGTTTTAAAATTTTCGAATAGTTATCGTTAATATTATAATAATTATAATAATAATAACTTATTTATTTCTCTCTTAAAGGTATGTATCTCTCTTAAAGGTACAAATACAAACGGAAATTGATCTTATAATTTATTTTGTAAGCCTTTGAAACAGCTGAAGTCTGTACTAGGTTCAAAGGCCTGTATTACTGATCTCCAGGCTCCCTGATATATATCCATCAATCACATCATAGATTGTTAATAGTTATCCGTTTCCGTGTCCTGAACGACAAATCGATAAATTGTCTTTTTTATTTCATCAATGATATTGAACTGTATACGTCACTTGTAATCATAGAACTTACATTAACTACCCGTTTGTTCATTGGCCAACGGAAATGCATGAAATACTAAAACCCAGAATTTCCGAGAACCATTTCCCTTGAAGCACCGACGTACTATCAATTTACTGCATTCAGTTACAACACAACACACAGCAGCTGTCAGCGTACAGACAGCGCTGACGTATAACGCTTTTGTATGTGTCTAGTCAGTGTAAACGCTACCGTTTATGCCCGACGATTTATCGTCCTACGATATTACGTTAATAAAATTATACCAATATTTACATATACTCGTAGTATAATTGGATATCGAACTGTATTATTATATTGATTGACTCATAAGCATTAGCTTTGCTACTTTCTTGGGTAACGAATTGCTTGTGATACCTAACATTTAGGTACAGCATACGTCCTCCGGCTTAACAAGTAGTAGTATTTTGACCAAATACTATGATACTAATGAGTAGGTGGCTTCTCAATTTAAGAATTGTGTAAATAGTGAAATACGTTGCTAGCAGAGTGAAAGATGAAAGTAGTCATGACTTTCAGAAAAACTAAATACATAGTGGTATGTATTTAGTGAATCTGTCTATGGAACCTGCAAGCTTACGCAGCAGAGGCTCGCACGGGTCCTGGGTCACGTCTGGTAGTACATGACACAAGTCTGCGACCAACCACGGTGACCTTATGTGGATCGTGAGATGTCTCCATGTGTGTATTCAGAGCGAGACGTGCCCCGCGCTCTAATGTTGAGTATTACTGCACACTTCACAACACATTCTCCGCCAATCACATCATAGATTGTTAATTTACGCAGACAGTCTCATCATGTCTGTCCTGATATTAAGACACGAAAAGGACCCATTCAAACTACAGCCTCCGAAAATTAATAGCACCACCGATATTATGACGTTTTTGTTATATCGACCGTCGTTACCCGAATACCTTTTCCTCTATGGTATTTATTAGCCTAGAATGGCACCACCACACTCTTCATACGGGTGTATATAGAATGAAAATGATTGTTTCTATTTAAGTCCCACAATAGTAGCTAGTGGTAATAAAAGATAATAAACTAATAAATCCAACACACTAATTAAAAATTAAAAATTCTCACAATGGGTGGTGGTAACTTGCCCGGATGGCCACCATCTTGCCTAGTTCTGCCGCGAAACAATAATGCGCTACGGTTTCAACAGAAGGATAATCCTTTTACAATGCAACCTTTACATACATCTTCAACCTCGTGTAATGGAATTTCTTACGATTACGTGGTAAGTAAGTATCTATTTAGAAACACTGGTACCTGCCACCAGAAATTGAACACCGGCAAAGCCGTCTTATTGTAAAAGAAAGACTTTTATAAATACGAATCACTTAAAACTAATAAAAAGATGTGTGGTGTCGTGGGACACCGGATAGGAACGAAGTTCTTTATTATAAAAATATTTATTTTAAGTTCTATTCGAGGTATAAAGAAAATAAAACTGGAGGTTTCGCTACAATCCACGATCATTCGGTAACATGTGAACTTACTGTGGTACACTTCATTCACGGTTGTCTGCCTAAGAGTTAGTGTATTGCGCAAAGGAACGCTCTGAGATCGTGGTCAATGAATGATAAAAAATATGTTATTTTTTGTACGTTATTACAAAGTGAAGTCGTACACTGTGTGCATTACTAATAAAAATCTTACGTTACGGACGTTTTTTCCCGGTTAGGGTACCCCTTCGCATCGTCCCATAAGGAACTTCGTTCCAATAATAATAATAAATCCAGAGCTGTCCCATCTACTCCAGTACATATTCTTTGTACTAACTGCATTCAATAGGAACCGAAGGAGCGTGACGCCGCACTAATGAAGCTGTGCTGTGAGGATCCAACTATTCTTTAGCGTCCGGATTTCCGGTGCAATTAGAACAAGCCCAGCCTTGTGTAGGTACATGGGATCGCGCGCTCAACGTGCCCTACTTTGAATTATTTATTAGGAACAACGCCAGAAGGGAATAAAGTCGAATAAGTATAATATAAGTATTTAACATTAGCCAGTTAGGGGGCTGTTCCAGTTTTGCCCGAACGGGTAGGTGAGCTCACGGGCTCAACCTAAGAGAATTTGCTAGCACCAGTCCTAACGAGAGCATTGCTTCGCAGAATCTACCGGATCGGAATCGCGACCCATTAAGAAGATCCTTCGAATATTTGGTGGAGACAACGGTAAAACATTATTGTTACCCATTGCAAAATAATCTATCGAGTTTCTCTGTCAAAATATCACACTTTTTAAGTAAAGCAGCAATTAAAATCTATGAAAATATAGTATAGTAATTTTTTTTTATTGTGGGTGTACGACAGTCCACTTGGTTTGTAGTGGTTAAGGGGTCCATAGACATCAGGACGTATCAAGCGCATGCCGTCACCCATGTTAAGACACGTGATCGTAGTTTACTACTAGTAACTTGTAAATTGTAACTAGTAACTAGTAAATTGCTTCTTGTTGGAAATAGGCAGGATTACAATACTACCTGCCGCATACCACGTGATCAGGACTAATGGTGGCTCGAGATTCCAAAGATCTTGATATCCTCCAAATGAATGAATTAGATAAATTGCTTATATATTTATATTTACCCATCTATAAAATATATATAAATCTGTGTGTGTCTATGTTTCCTATAAACTCCGAAACAGCTGGGCCGATTTCGATGAAATTTTGGCCTTCCGTTCCAATGAAGTTTGCCTGCTATCAGATCAAATTCAAATCATAGATTAGCCAGCTAATCGGGCCGGGTCTGACTTACTAAATGAAAAGTTATGAAATTCATTTTCGTTTATTTTTTAAAGTTGTCGATTAAGCATAATTTAGAAAATGAACTAGTTTTAAGAAATCGGAGAAAGGTAGAAATTAATGTTTAAATATGTTTTTAACGCCATCTATACTTAGTATTGTGAAACATCTTCGAATACTTTTATCGAGCGTGGCATTACTATCACTAGAGTTGTCGCAAATCGAATATAGATGGCGCTTTCCCAGATGCCTGCTTTCCCATTCCAGTTTATTATTAGTTTAATAGGAAAAGTTTGCGACGAATAGAGTTTACGTTTGAAACGTCGTAAAGATGTAATTGAATAAAATAACGACTTCACCAAAGTGGGATAAACGTGTCATAGAAGTTAGGGTTTTATTTTATCGACTGTTTCGCTATTATTGCTTTTTACAGCATCTTTCAGCGAAACATTAGCTTTAAAGCATGGGAAATAGTAGAACTTATGTTCCTATTTTAATGTCAAAAATGGTCTTGAAGAATGAATGTATAAGGTCAAGCTATATTTCGTTAATTTTTTTATTAAAACAAATTAACAAATATCACAATGTTTTTATGTTGGTAAAGTACATATAACATATTTTAGTTCACACAGAACACCATTAAATAAATAATAAAATAGTTTTAAAAACAAAACAAAGACGCTTTCGTCACTTGCTAGATAATAACTGTGTTTAGCTATAAGTGTGTAGTGATTTTTTTGGTTATAATAAAGTATTCTACTTTTTAGTTCGATTCCAGAGAAGGAACCCGAGAAAAGCTATGAAAACGATATCCTAGGAAGACAGCCGGGGTGTGGCACAAGGTGCTACCGTATTTCCAGCGTTAGTCCTGAAGTTTCTGATCAGGAAAATCGGAAATTTTAAATTCTTGTTTTGTAATCTGTCCTTGATAAGTGCGCGATGTTTCAAGCCAATTCGACCTTTAGTGTGGGTGAAAATGGCCATCAAAGATTCATAAATATTACCGAGGTAATAAAGCCCTGTTAAAATACATATTTATGACAATAACTTAAATACACTCAGCGGTTTTAGATACTTCACTACATAGTATAAAACTAAGTCGCTTTCTCTGTCCCTATGTATGCTTAAATGTTTAAAACTACGCAACAGTTTTTTTTAATAGATAGTGATTGAAGAGGAAGGTTTATATGTATAATAACATCCGTTAAATAGTAGAGAAATCAATAATAAATTACAGTTTCCTAGTCTATACTAATAATATAAAGAGGAAAGATTTGTTTGTTTGTTTGTATTGAATAGGCTCCGAAACTACTGAACCGATTTGAAAAATTCTTTCACTATTTGGAAGCTACACTATTCCCAAGTAACATAAGCTACAATCTTTTTTGAAAAAAATTAGGGATCCTTACTAAAACTCCAGTAATGTAACCCAAGGTGTAACGAAATACCTAAAATATTCTTTACATCGCGTGCCCTGCGAAAACTATTGATGATAGAATAAAATAATGTACTACCAATTTGTAGAACACATTATTATTTACAAAAAGTGTGGCGACAGCATATGTGTGTATATTATAGTTATGCCGCAATAAGCGTTTATTTTAAAAAACAAAACAACATCGTTGAAATTTTCGTTAAAGACCCGAGCGGAGCCGGAACGGTCCGCTAGTTTTATTAATAAAGGTAAGCTTAAGTTCTAGACATACCTGTACAGCATCATCCAAGCACCTGCCCCACGCGTCGCTGCGGTCGACCAGGGTGTTCCACTTGTCAGCGAGCTTGGCCACCTCGCGGCGGATCGAGCGGGCCAGCTCGCGGGCCTGTTCCTCGGCAGACCGGTAGCCGCGGGAGTCGCCTTCGCTGTCTCGAGATGCTGAAAGGTTTATTAGATTAGGAAAAAATGTTTATTGGGTTTTCTTTCACAAAAGATTCTTTTTTTTTGCTTAGATGGATGGACGAGCTCACAGCCCACCTGGTGTTAAGTGGTTACTGGAGCTCATAGACGTCTACGACGTAAATGCGCCACCCACGTTGAGATATAAGTTCTAAGGTCTCATTATAGTTACAACGGTTTACAGAAATAGGCAGTATGGTGGTACCTACCCGCGCGGACTCACAAGAGGTCCTTCCACCAGTAATTACACAAATTATAATTTTGCGGTTTTGATTTTTATTACACGATGCTATTACTTCACCGTGAAAGTCAATCGTGAACATTTGTTGAGTACGTATTTCATTGAGCCAGTGCTATTCATGCTCATATATTTTTGCTAAACTAGCTACCACTGCCTTAATATTGCTAATTAGGCTAGTTTTGATGGTTTTGTTGCATGACCGTTTTTACCCTAGGGCTAAAAGGGCTATGGTCCGGGGCATCTGGTGGTGAGGGGTGGAACAAACCGGAGCGCATTAAGTTCTGTTTGGACTTTGTGAGCCTGAAGTTTAAAAAAAAACCTATCTGATTAACAAAATTCCCATGGTAGTAAGATTAATAGAATTTTCATTCATAACACAATTCTCACCCGACAATAGTACCTATAACTGCAGGATTTTATTTTCTAGTTAAAAGGTTTTTTGGAACGAAGTTCCTTAACTGGGAAATAACATCCGTAACGTAAGATTTTTATTAGTAATGCACACAGTGTACGACTTAACTTTGTAATAACGTACAAAAAATAACATATTATTTTTATAAATCATTGTGAATAAAATAAAGTTGATAGCTTTGTAAAGTAGCTTTTATTTATTTTTATCAATAAAAAATTCATAATAAAAAATGTAAACCCGAATAATTATTTTCTTTATATCTCGAATAGAACTTAAAATTATTAAATTTTTTATAATAAGAAACTTCATTCCTATCCGGTGTCCCACGACACAACACATTTTTTTTAATAATTTGTAAGATGGGAAACTTTATCGACCTAGAGCACTGAATCTTCTTCATCCTCGCCTCATCTTGGAGGTCGTGAACAAGTCCTATGTAATTATTTATTTTAAAAACTTAAACTTTAATAACTTATTGTACCTACGTATTGGCAAACGCAAAAAACAGGAATTAATTCTATTTTTATTTATTTAGTTTGGGTGGACGAAGTATTTAGTAATTGAGTCAATACTATATTGGCCGCGAGCCCATAGACGTAGTGAGATCCGGGTCGATTTGTCAGTTGCAGCGTAATGACCGTCTGATTCTTCAAATGTTTTTTTTTATGATTGAAGGATTACTGGTGGCCCGGAGGCCTTTCCAGTTTCACCAGGACAGGTGGGCGAGCAAAGGCTCAGCCAGGTCTTCAAATGCTGTCAATTGATACATGATATAGAGATCGTGGTTTTTTCTGCTCAGCTCTCTACAACATAACTAACAAACTTAAAAGCTTTAAGCGTCCCGCCGCGTACTCCAACGGATGCTTTACCTTCTGGAGCGTGAGTAGCCTCCGCGACGAGGCCGTAGATTTAATAATTATGTCGTCATTTCCCGAGCGAAAATTCACTCGGCTCTAGATGAAGTTAGTGATTTTTTTTCGAGTTATTTCATGAGACTCGCGGTAATGATTTTTATAAACTGCTTTTGAATTTTTATTTTGTAAAATGATAGGTATATTTAGCGCATGTTTCAGCACGGGCGAATTGTGGAATGCCTTCATCGATTTACTTTATTTTATAATTTGCGTAATTACTGGTGGTAGGACCTCTTGTGAGTCCGCACGGGTAGGTACCACCGTGAAGCAGTAATGCGTTTCGGTTTGTTGCAGCCGTTGTAATTATATCTCGTATATATCGTAGAACTGATATCTCAAGGTGGGTGGCGCATTTACGTCGTGGATGTCTGGGCTCCAGTAACCACTTAACACAAGGTGGGCTGTGAGCTCGTTCACCCATCTAAGCAATAAAAAATATATATCTTTGTTTGTTAGGGGACAAACTTCGAATGAATCTCACGTTAGGTGTTTACTGGACACATTGACATTACAGTTTGAATTCTACCAACCATATTGAGACACCAGGTCGAATTTAGAATTATATTGCAAGATTGAAAATCCATCGAACCGACAATATACCTAATTAGAAGATATAGATGAAGATTTATTTTACTACATTTTGTCCTACTGAATCCAGTCATCGATACAAACGTATAAAATCTAACCTAGATTACGACCTAAAAATTAGTAGGATTCAATCGAGAAATTAAAGGTTTTTCTTTTAAAAGAACTGTTTGAAAAACTCGAAGTCGAATGGCGGCGGCGTGTCGCTACGTTTTCAATATTTACGACCGCACCAATGACCGTAACGGACGCGTTTACCGCCAAAACCAGGGCGGGCTCGTTTTTATCGATAAAACATCGATTCCTCGATATTATTTTTATCGAAACTGTAGTTTATAGCCATTGTTTCAGTACGCTCCGTTAAGGGCGGTTCGTTGTTCAAATTGCGGGTAGTTTTGTACCGCCATTCCGCCTATTTTCACCACGAAGCAATCATGCGTTACAATTTCAAGATTAGGAGATTCGTTATTAAAACACACTTAATGCTTTGAGCTCTTGTGTGATGGTGTTAAAGTCGTGATGTTCTTTGTGGAAGTTGTTCGTGAAAATATATTGACGTACATAATTTCTCTTACCGAAAATTATTTATAGAAATTACTGAAACGCAATCACGCTCCTGTGGTGATTATTGCCAGCTATCAGCATAGGTAGGGAAAAAAAAGCAATATAAATTCTATTGTGCAAACAAATATTGATTTCTATTTACATACTCGGAAGACAGACTGGTTGGACGGATAGATAGATTATCTTAAACGCGGTATAGTCAAAAGTTCTTGAAATTGTCGTTAGCGCGATTCAAACTTTCATTCGCCGATACCTAACGTTACACAGAGAGAGAAACTGGTTTTGAGATTTGTAACAGATAGCAATCAAAACGTATTTTGTTTTAGTGAGATTATATAGGCACTCCACGCAGATACGAATTTGCCAAAACAAAAGGCATCCAAAATTCAATTCGTGTCATACCGTGAAAGCTTCATAAATCTAACATAACAGTATCAAGTTCACATGCGCGCACGTACGGGCTGGTCTAAACAAACTTTCGTTATTCGGCAGCTTCACGGATTACTCTCCCCCGCCCCGGGACATGGATATTCAAAAGCGCCTTCACACGTCGGGGCTATTCCTGCAGCCCATATCAAATATTATGAAGTAATCGTGGCCTAAAGTTATGAAGTCGTCGTGGCCTAAAGGATAAGACGTCCGGTGCATTCGTGTTGAGCGATGCACCGGTATTCGAATCCCAGGCAGGTACCTACCAATTTTTCCAATGAAATACGTACCTCGACAAATGATCACTATTCCTTCAACGGTGAAGGAATAACATCGTGTAATAAAAATCAAACTCGCAAAATTATAATTTGCGTAATTACTGGTGGTAGGACCTCTTGAGTCCGCGCGGGTGGGTACCACCGCCCCGACTATTTCTGCCGTGAAGCAGTAATGCGTTTCGGTTTGAAGGGTGGGGCAGCCGTTTTAACTATACTGAGACCTCAGAACTTATATCTCAAGGTGTGTGGCGCATTTACGTTGTAGATGTCTATGTGCTCCAGTAACCACTTAACACCAGGTGGGCTGTGAGCTCGTCAACCCATCTAAACAATAAAAAAAAAGAACCAAAAGGTTCCAACTCAAGCACACATCACCTTCAGTCGATCCTACCAGAGCTATCGTACATATGTGTCCAGGCCGTATGCGATGGCGCCGGCCGGCTGCTCTACACTAAAGTCCGACTGCTCTACACTGAGTTCCGACTGAACTGCAGTGATTGAAACGTCGACGTCACGGAATTCGCAATTACCGGCCGCCGGGCTCGTTCTAATTACGTTCAGCCCGCCCGTTCGATTCCCAGCTCGTTAACCGATCATTGTTTTAATTGTACGTCATATATATTATACTAGCGGCCCGATCCGGCTCCGCTCGGGTCTTTAACAAAAACGATATTTGAGGTTGTTTTATTTTTTAAAATAAAATAACACTTTTTTACTGGTGGTAGGACCTCTTGTGAGTCCGCGCGGGTGGGTACCACCACCCTGCCTATTTCTGCCGTGAAGCAGTAATGCGTTCGGTTTGAAGGGTGGGGCAGCCGTTGTAGCTTACTTGAGACCTTAGAACTTATATCTCAAGGTGGGTGGCGCATTTACGTTGTGGATGTCTATGGGCTCCAGTAACCACTTAACACCAGGTGGGCTGTGAGCTCGTCCACCCATCTAAGCAATAAAAAAAAAAAATTGCGGCATAACTATAATACTTAGACATATGCTGTCGTGACACTTTTTGTAAATAATAGTGTGTTCTACGAAGTCGTAGTACATTATTTTATACTATCATCAATAGTTTTCGCAGGGCACGCGATGTAAAGAATATTTTAAGTAATTTTTTTACATCTTGGGTTACATCATTGGAGTTTTAGTAAGGATCCCTAATTTTTTTCAAAAAAGATGATAGCATATGTCACTCGGGAATAGTGTAGCTTCCAAACAGTGAAAGAATTTTTCAAATCGGTTCAGTGGTTTCGGAGCCTATTCATTACAAACAAACAAAAAAATCTTTATTCTTCATAATATTAGTATAGAAGTATAGACTAGTTTTTGCCCGCGACTTCGTCCGCGTGGAATAGTTACTTTGGTATAACGCTAAATTTTATCGATGCGACTTCATTTACGTAAAAAGTTTGAATATTTTTGAATAATAGGATGTTAAGGAGCTATTTAAGGAATCAAAATCACGGTTTTTAACCGACTTCGAAAGAGGAGGTTATCAATAAGGAAAAAAATCCTAATTTTGAAACATTCTGTATTGGTGCTCCGCTTGTAAGGGTCTTAGCATGTTATATAGCCTATAGCCCGTAACAGTTTGTTGTAAAATACATATTTATATTATTAGTATTTTTTATTGTGAATAATTCCTTTTCTATTTTTTTTGTTCTCTGAGTACGTAACGCGACACAAATTGGTTTATATGTATTATTCTTTTCTTATTTTTCTTGCACTGAGTCTGAGACATATTGTGTGTATCGGAATGCACCATTTCCGTGAGAAATGGCTCTTCGGTAAACAGTTTTTCTTCACGTAAAATGTAAAATATCCTATTTTGTACCTTCAGGGGTTCACACCATTCATGTTGATCGATTGAGCCATTAAAACGTACAAGCATGACACACTTTCGCATTTTTTTAAGTATGGATAAACTAGTGTGATACAAAATAATTCGACGTCCAGTAGCATGGCAACATTGGTGACGTCATATCGTGTCACGATGACGTCAGCAAGTCGAGGCACTAAGTCGAGGCACTAAGTCGAGGCCGACCCTTTGCCCCGTCGGACCGGAAGAGTCTGACTTAGCTTAGAAAGTAATAATGGCTTATATCTTTGTTACTGTGGTTGTGTTTACTTTGTTTTTCTTTTTTTCCCTACCTATGCTGATAGCCTTGAGAGGCTGTATCAGCTTCTCCTTGACGTGTAGGTGAGCTCACGGGGCTCAAACCGAGAGTGTTGCAAACACTGGCCCTAGCAAGAGCCGTGCTTCTCAGAATCTACCACCGGATCGGAAACGCGACCCACTGAGAAGATCCGGCGAGAAACTCAGTGGGCTGTCTGTGGGTTAATTCACTCGTCGAGCCCTTTGTCGCAAGCGACGAGTTCGACGAGGACGATGATCGGTTACTTTGTTATCTCGTAAACCGTACACTAGAGTAGATTTCGTTCTTAAATTGTTTAAAGGAATCTTATTCCTCGTACAAAGATATATTAATAATTGTTTAAGGTCCGTACTCAATGTATAGTACAGATCCGTGCGTTTGTCGCGTGTGATATACAGATATCAAACGACAACAATCAGAGCGGAAGATCGAGAGTCTGTTGTGCATATGTGACACAAACAAATTTGCATATTGATATATTATTGAGTAGGTATTGACTGATACCTATGCAAAACACCTTACGTCTCTAGGAGGTTGTGATTACATTATTTAACATGGGAAGGACGTGAGTTCGACCTTTCCAATACAGTGATGAAAGTCGTAGAAATATGTATTTATTTGATCTATATTATAATTTTGGAGGTTTTATTGTCAGTGAGAATTGTGGTCTTTTGGCGTAAATACGATTTTTGCCATGTTTGGGGAAAAAATTATGAACATAAGTATAATATTTACTATTAGATGACAGTTTTTGTTGAAAAATCTCCTTCTTCGAACGAGGTATACAAAAAGTCCTAAGCTATGAGAGTGGTTTGGTTGTGCCTTTGACATTGTTAATGACTATAAGCGACGGCTAGGTTTCAGCGGGTCGTATATTAAAAAGCATTTTATTTTCAACATTAGAAAAAGGGAATTAGCTCACGTTCAGTATCACTGGTGTCGGAGAGAGGTGGTTCGTTGGCGATGTACTGCCTTCCGCTGAGGAGGTTGCTCTCCACCACTGGACGCTTGTCTTCCAACTGTCTCCTGAAGGCGCGATGATCATCCTTCAAGAAGAACAAAAAATACACTCGTTAAATTTTCATCAAACTCTTTCTTTTGGAAATAAAATACAGAAAAAAATTGTGGCAGGGATTACGTCGGTGGTCCTTCATTTAGAGTCGTGCGATAAACTCCCTCCGGTTCTGCACTAATACATGAAATATTTCAGAAAGTAATCATCCTTATACCTTAAAAGTACATTTACCCTTGAAGCCTTTTAGCGCCGCGTAGCAAAAAACACCCCAAAATCACCTGTCATTTGTTTTTCCCGCGCAAACAGGCGTCGGCCATTCCGTGCTGTCATCCGTACGCTTAATGGCGGCAAATATAGCTCGTGATTTAATACGTTCGCAAGCTCAGATATTAGAACGAACGCCACGGAATTGTTTATTATCACATGCGACATTCTGTTTTGCCTTGTTTTAATATGTTTTTGGGGTTTTCCAGCTGGAGATAAATTAAGGATGGTTTGCCGACAAAACTTTCAAGGTGAAGAGATACGGACATTTTAAGTTTAGCCCGTTTTTTGTTAACTAATTAGTCTGGTAAATACGCTTATGATAATAAAAAAAATGATGATGCTACCTCGATTGTACTCTCGGGCTAGTGGTTAGTGAATCTGACTACAGTACAACGGAGTTAAGTTAAATTTCAAGTTAGCCATGTGGGATATGTCCTCTTTGCTGGTTCAAGCGGATAAAACAAGAAAATACCTTATATCAAGGAATTTTACGAGGTATCGAGTTTATAATATTATAATTGTTGAGAGAATGTTAAGTAGTTAACTCTTGTTTTCATGTTCTTTTAAATTTTTTTTATGTCGTACTGTTATCATTTAAATTTAGCCTATTTTTCCGCTGTTTGTAAAATTGCTGTAACATGTCATAGTGTGTTTTAAGAGATTGCTGTACATGCCTGTAACTGGCTTACATACCAGTACTTAATTTTATACCTACATGTTAATTTTAAGCTTGAATGTTTTGTGTGTATTGCTGTTGGTGTGTCTAAATAAATAAATAACATACTTGCTGCTTCAGGAGAGCGGTGAGGTCTCCCCTCGGAGGTGCTAGAGCGTTCAATTCTGTCTCTTTCCTGATGACCCACTCAGTTAACTCCCGGAGAGACAGCAGCAATGCGGACCAATGTTCGGCGTTGCTCTCAAGGCGGTTTCTGCGGACAAAAAACATTTGTGATTCAGAGTTATCTCATTTAACATAACTTATTTTTAAGTACCTGTAATGTACAGACGGAAGCCCATAATTTTATTGCCTTTATGGGCAGGTGGGTGCACAACTGTCATGTGGCTATCAGGCAACATGATATGGATGGTATTACCTTAATACATTGCGTTGAAGTCGCCATTGTATTGTACAACAATTGTTATCCCAATAATCTAGAATCTCGTAAACCACCTTTCTTTTCATTAGTTATTTTCATCACTGATCATTAAGCCCCTCTCCAAGAAGGGTTGACTCAAGGTAATTGGACCAATCGTTAAAACATTAAGCCATATCATATAATAACGTGTATATAATATTACTAGCGACCCGCCTTCGCTTTATTTCGGAAACTGTAATTTATTATTGATTTTTCCACTATTTAATGGATATTATTAAACATATAAACCTTCCTCTTCAATCACTCTATCTATTAAAAAAACCGCATCAAAATCCGTTGCGTAGTTTTAAAGATTTAAGCATAGATAGGGATATAGGGACAGAGAAAGCGACTTTGTTTTATACTATGTAGTGATTATGTTGTGTCAACGGCACTGAGCAGGACAATGAAGAAAAAGGATAATCTTTAAACAGAACCCGCAGCCCGCGATCCTCATATTTCAGAATAATTTACGCTTTTCACGAAACATACTATGGTTTGAAAGTTCAAGTAAAATAAACCATGTTGAGTCCTTGGAGTGTGTTCAGAATGTAGCTCCAAAACTTGGCTGCGAGCTCGCACTGTGTAAAAGTAAATCCCGAGATTTTAGAACGTAGTGAGGGGTGCTGCGTCGATGAATTTTATCGATGAATTTTATTTGATTGTTGGCATATTATTCTAAAAAAAATTTAATATCGATAAATTATCTGATATAAAGAGTAACGCGTCATTGATCCGCTGTCGCTCGAAATAAGGAAGATTTGAAGAGTTTATAGAATTATTTTAATATAAATAATGCTAATAAAATTATAACGTTTTCCTAACGGGCAAGCTAAAAAATTTTCCATAAATATGAACATCAGTTATATTTTTCTGTAAATCGCAAGCAAAAGACAAATAAGGGTGGTGGTACAAAGTCGTGCTGCCTTCGCGTTGTAAGCATCGCCACAACACTAGCTTCATTATTACTGAGTTTATATTAATTAATATACTTTAAGACGGAAACTTTGTAGACGCACATATACATAAAAATACATAAAATATTTTTCTTAATGAAAAAAAGTGCCGATAACAATATACAACATCTATATTTGAAGATCATTAACTAGAACCAAAATATTAACTATCATTTAATAATGATTTAAATTAAAATACATATTTAAACAATTTCATGAATAACTAAGAGCCATTTCGAGGGCTAGCGCGGGAGCTATCGATGTTTATTGCTAATTTAAATGTAAAGAAACTATATTTCTTTATAGTACATTTGTACAGCCCTCTATAGCTCCTATGTAATAATATAGATGGCACTGTCGATAATGGTGACATAAAAGAAATAAATATATTTGGTCTATAATAAAATTATAACAGGTGAAAACAAAGAAACGACATTCAAAGTCCACCACTCTCAATCCCTTATAATAATTATCCAATTTAATTTAGTTACAATATGGCAGATGTCATCTCATTCAATATCAATGTAATATGTCACCATTATCGACAGCGCCATCTATATGATTACATATTATTATAAATATAATAGTTTTAAAATCTCGCCGCGAAGGCAAAATGAGCTTTCTTTAAAACCGACATCGTAAGAAAATCAAACATTATTATGAAGATTTTAAATCTTTAATACAATTAGATATACCTACTTGCGAGATGTTAAGGGGCGTAATTCAAAAACTTGGCACAGAGTCTGTTCAGCCGGGGTTCTGTTCAAACTATGTACATTCCGTAGTTCAGTAATGAGATTGTATCGATAATTTGTAAATCTTATATTATGAAATATTAATAGGTGAAGCAAAAACTGTGTACCTCTTTTTACGAAAATTGCGCCAACGGAGGAGTATGAAATTTCCCACACTTATAGAGAATATAGAGAAGGTGCACAGTGTTAATATCTTTTTTTTATTATGAATAAAAAAAATCATTAAATCAATAAAAAAACATTACACACACTGCCATGTATTTGACAGAACACATACATATAAATTATATAATAATATTTGTTTATTGTCTAATTTTTCTTATGACTTTTAGTCTGTTGTCATATTGAGAATAGATCAATATTGCTTGTCTTTAAGATTATTTATCTATAGTTTTGGCGAAATCTGTGATTATATTATAGAAGTATAATAGTGTTTGACAATAGAACTAAAATAATGCTTAAACATAAAATTTCAAATAATTATAGTCGAATTTCGACTACTGCGGGACCACTAGTATTATGAAATTCACCAATGTCGCGCGTCGCTACCTGCGCTTTGACCCGCATATAAAATTTATTTTTAATCGATGCAAATGAAACCTTTCTGTATTACTTTTTGTTTAATTACAAAAAATTAAAAACGAGACTGGTGCGAGTTGATTTTTGACATTTCTGCAGGTAGGGAGGGAGCCAAGTTCACGAGTCGCCAAGCTGGTTACTGGACCTCATAAGCATCACGACGTGAATGTCACCAGCAGTCTTGACAGAGGAAGGTTTTGAAATATTAATCTTGATGTGACGGTTGTCCTACTCTAAAACGAAGATTACCAGTGAGGACTCACAATACTCCGTAGCACGAGTAGAGGGTAGTTTGAAGTATTTCACACGAGAGCTTAAGGAACACCACTGGTATTACTACCACGGTTTGAAGGGTGGGGCAGCCGTTGTAACTATACTTGAGACCTTAGAACTTATATCTCAAGGTGGGTGGCGAATTTACATCGTGGATGTCTATGGGCTCCAGTAACCACTTAACACCAGGTGGGCTGTGAGCTCGTCCACCCATCTAAGCAATAAAAAAAAAAGATTAATTACGACTTTTGATTGTATTTCATGAACGAAGATAGAGTGAGTCTTTCGGAATGACTGAGTGCATAGTAAGTAATTACATAACTGTCAGATGTCATTAGATAACTTAGACATAGAATTAGTGAGAAGACGTGTAATGGAAAAGTTACTAAATTCGTTTTAGCTCATTATAGTAAGACTTTTTGGCGGGAACGCGAGGGGTGAAGTTGTGTGATTTGTTTTATTTTGTCTATTTATATGTTTCTTCAGGTTTAAATGTGTAATAAAGGTGGTTTATTGACTGTTTAATATCTGTGAAAGTGCACAATTGTGGGAAAATGAAACAAAGCCACTGGACGTAACTTCCCTGGATCCTCCAAAAAGTCCACTGAAAAAGTCTCAGTAAATGACCACCATTTTACTGAGATTATATTTCATCCCATATCATCTCATTTCATTTCATATGATTTCATTTCATTTAATTTCATAATATTATTTTTCATATAAATATACCTAGTCAGGTCATAAGTATTGTCACACAGTAAAAACTTTTCATTTAGAATGCTGGCCACAAAAAAGTTTATTGAATTCGAATTTCGAATTGTTCATGAAAATAAAAATGTATACTTTTAGAATTTTACTCACTTTTAAATATGGAGTGGACGCTTAAAGAAGACCGTGTTGCAGTTATTGCGTTGCATCGTTGCGGTTACGCGCCAATTCAAATTTTTAACATACTGAAAAATTTGAATATAACCAAAAGATTCGTTTATCCTACCATCAAACAATGAAGACTCTAGTGTAGATGACAGGTCAAGAAGTGGTCGCCCTCGGTCTGTTAGGACTCCAGCAGTGATTAAAAGCTGTGAAGGCGCGAATTCAAAGAAATCCCAAACGTAAGCAGAAACTGTTGGCCCTTCAGATGGGGTTAAGCAGAACCACGGTGAAAAGGGTGTTAAATGAAGACTTAGGGCTTCGGGCATATCGAAGAAAAACAGGACATCGTTTGAATGCTCGTCTAATGGACCTGAGACTGAAGAGATGCCGCGCTTTGTTGAAGCGGTACGCGGGAAAAAAATATCGGGAAATTCTTTTTTCGGATGAAAAAATTTTTACCGTAGAAGAGAGCTACAACAAACAAAATGATAAGGTGTACGCACACAGTAGTGAAGAAGCGAGCAACCGTATTCCGCGTGTCCAACGAGGTCATTTTCCATCCTCGCTCATGGTATGGTTGGGAGTTTCTTATTGGGGCTTAACAGAGGTACATTTTTGTGAAAAAGGTGTAAATACGAATGCAGTTTTGTATCAAAATACACTCGTGATGAACCTTGTGGAACCTGTTTCTCATACCATGTTCAATAACAGGCACTGGGTATTCCAACAAGATTCGGCGCCAGCTCTTAGCGGCGCGTGAATTCGACTTCATCCGGCACGAAGACTGGCCCTCCTCCAGTCCAGATTTGAATCCGTTAGATTACAAGATATGGCAACAATTGGAGGAAAAGGCGTGCTCAAAGCCTAATCCCAATTTGGAGTCACTCAAGACATCCTTGATTAAGGCAGCCGCCGATATTGACATAGACCTCGTTCGTGCTGCGATAGACGACTGGCCGCGCAGATTGAAGGCCTGTATTCAAAATCACGGAGGTCATTTTGAATAAGCTTTAGTGTCATAAGAATCTATGTTTTGTTAAGTTCATTTTGGTATACGAATGGTTACATAATGAATAAACTTGTTTCAATTATTTTACATTAAACATGTGACAGAATTTATGACCTGACTAGGTATATAAAAGATTAGGCTGTATGGTATGATACCTTTGCCTTTCCAATTGGAAAAATAAGACTACTACTACTCATTATGATAAATAATAATACTTAACATCGAACGTTAAAGTCGCATCACTATTGTAGTGATGTATTTAAGCAACTAACTGCGCCAAGTTTCACATTTGAAATAATCTCGCAACATTTCAATTTTAAAATGGCAAGTTTAAACTCGGAAGCACCA